AGACAGATCAGAGAGAGATGCACTGTCCAGCTAGGTTAGATAGAGACAGATCAGAGAGAGATGCACTGTCCAGCTAGGTTTGAGAGACAGATCAGAGAGAGATGCCCTGTCCAGCTAGGTTAGACAGACAGACTAGAGAGATGCACTGTCCAGCTAGGTTAGACAGACAGACTAGAATGACTGTGTCTGTTGTGACAAATTTAGCTAATTTTGAGCAAAACTCAAAAACACTAGCCAGTGCATGACCTACACACACAACTTTGAACAGTTTTACACACATCATGTTTTTCATTAAAACACAAAAAACAGGAAATCTGTGTCCACACTGATTTTAGGACTTTGGGACACATTTACTTCAAAACAGTAAAATCTAACTGTTCATCATGTGACCATGAGGGACAGGGATGCTATCTCACTTCCTGCTCTAAAATGCAGGGGTGTGCAGGTTACAGGTTTGCAGGTTTTTTATTTAAAAATAAAACCTGGTAAATCTTTTGACTTCACTTTAAAAACATCAATATCTATCCTTTTAAAATCAATATTGATGTATTACTTTCAGAAGTGTAAATTTAGGGGTTAGGGTTTGGGAAAGACACCTCCCAGTAGAAAGCAAACCCTTTAAATGGTGATTTTATAAGTATATATTTAGCTCATTATTATCTCAATGAATGCCTTGGATTTATAGAGACCATAACAATCTTTTTAAACATTTACTGTCTGGAAACGTTAGCTGGCGTAGTTTTTTCAGCTGCTACATGCTCTAACAGATTAACTCTTACTCAGCACAGTGTTGCACAATGTTTTTTCCACATTACTGTGCTTCTTACATTAAATTCTTGTTCATATTGAAACCGAAGGCTGTTTTTTGTGCAATACATGGCTAGAAGTTTTAAATTATATTGTATTGTGATAATATAGACTAGTTTCTGACTCAAGACCAAGACCTGATTAAGAGTTCAGTCTTAGAAGTTGGTTGCATTTTCTGCTTCTCACAATCCAGGTAATCCCAAACATCACATTCAGTGATGTAGAGGTCAGGACTCTGGAGTGCAAAGCTCAGTTTTCTACCCTCTCTCAAAGCTGAAAGCTCTAATTGCTGCTTATCTGATGGGGAGAGGTTTGGTGATCTACCAGGCGTTGCAGGTGGTTGTTAGGAATCCTGTTTTCTCTCCATCTCAAAAATAAATTATTTGTACTTAACATCTATTTTGACTGGAAATTAAATAAATGAAGGGTGACTTTTGCACAGGACTGTACACATAGATATCTCATACATATGGCTGATTACAGCATTGGCGTTTCAAAAGTTACATGGTTTTTATTGCCTCTATAACTCAGCTCTTATTTGTGCAATGCCTTTCAAACACTTATAAAATACATATCTGTGTGTTACAAATAGCAGTAGTGTAAAACTCTACTACCTACTCACCAAATGAATAATCTGGTATCAGAGTTCCATTGTTATAACCTGCTCCACTACCAACAGTGGCAGCTGTAGAAATCCTGCTTACACAGTGGTATTTATGAAAGAATTTATTTAGGGTCCATACCCTACACTTTTCTTGTGTTTCCATTCATGATGTTTGTGTAGTTTTATGTACCAAAACAGCCATGATTCATTTTTTACATGACCACTTCCAGCCTCTCTTTATCTCTTAGAATTAAGCAGGCTGTTTTTTTGGCCTTTTACAGAGATGCTCACAGGTCAATTCATACAAGTCTCAAGTCTGTGAGGTGAGAGTCTGTGTCGAGTTTCAAGTCTCTGAAATTAGAGTCCAAACGTCAAGTCCCGAGTCCCTGAATTGAGAATCTGAGTCGAGCCTCAAGTCTCTGAAGTCAGAGTCTGAGTGGAGTCTTGAGTCTCAGGTCTCTTGACTCATGTCGAGTCTTGAGTCGCTGAGATGAGATTCCGAGCTGAGTCTCGAATCTCTGAGGTAAGAGTCCAAGTCAAATCTCAAGTCTCAGGAGTGAGAGGCCCAGTTGAGTCTTGAGTCTGTGGGATACGAAAGCATGTCAAGTCTCTGAGGTGCAAGTCTAAGTCAAGTCTCAAAACTCTGCAGTGCGAGTCTGAGTCAAAGTCCAAGTTGGGTTTCGAGTCTTGAAGTGAGTCGGAGTCAAGTTTCAAATCTCTGCGGTGAGAGTCTGAGTTGAGTCTCAGTGATGAGAATCCAAATTGAGAGTCCGAATGAAGTCTTGAGTCTTTGGGGTGTGATGAGCTAGCTTGGCTGAAAGGTCTAAGCATGTAGCTCAGAGAACACATTACAAGCAGTAGAAATAACATCATCTCTTGTGAGGGTAAAAATGTAATCAACTTCTAAGACTGAACTTTGGAGTTCTTTTAGAGCAGGAAGTGAGGCTGCATCCCTGTCCCTCATGGCCACATAGTGAACAGTTAGACCACATTGTTTTGAAGTAATTGTGTCCCAAAGTCTGAAAAATCAGAGTGGAACATAAAGAACGGTCGATAACAAAACACATATTTTTGTTTTTGTGTTTTAATGAAAGATATTGTGATTTTATGTGTGTGCAACTGTTCAAAGCTATGCTTGCTAGTCATGTAGTGGCTGGTGTTTTTGAGTTCTACTCAAAATTAGCTTAAATTGTCACTACCGAAACAGCCACTAGTGTTATGATTGATGTTTTGGTAGTGACAAAATGGAAAGTTCAGTCATTTATTTTAGTCGAATAAACATCATTAAGGTATTCCAAGAAAAAGGAATGTAGTCTGAAGTCCAAGTCACTTAAAAGTCTGAAATGTGTTTTGAACTCTGACTTTGAACCAATTCGTTCAAATGATCCACATAGCTTACAGTCTGAAAACAAGTTTTTCAAACAAACTTATTTGCATTTAACAGTGCACACCCACACAGGCTGAGAAGGAGCAGGACCTAACAAGCTGTCTGGCCTTTGCCTTGTGCAGACCTGCAATTTACACTCCATACATTGCAGGCACACACATATACGCACAGGTGTGGGAGCTGACCTGTGTCTTTGCAGTGCTGCCAGGTATGTCCACACCCTTTTGTCACCGCTCCCACAGGGACAATAACAGCACAACATATATGAATTATGAATTTTCTATGAATGCCACTCTGAACCCCCCTCTGTACGCAAAATATTGTTCCTCAGCAGATGCAGTTTAGGTTTCAAACTGCTTGCGTCACCAATAGGCACCGTGGTATTGTTGCAGATGACACAGCGTAATCTCAGACAAAAAAATTCCAAACAAACCTCCTCCCACACACGTTCCTACAGTCACAGCCAAATGGAGCCTTGGCTCTGTCTGGGCTTGTCTCCTCGTTTTCAAGATGTGAAACGGATTTATGATCTTCTGAAACAAAAGCCCAATGCGTAGTGGGCAGTTTAATCGATACATACTCTGCTCAGAAATGCATATTTTCATAGCTACTGCTGGCTGGACAAACCTTATATAAAATGAATGAGAAATTGCAGCACTTTGTTTTGGTCAGGGTTTCCAGTTCGAATTGCTACACTATGGAGCTGGACTGTGCTATGGAAAATCAAAACTAAGCAGCCATTTGCTACTATGCTAAAAAACACACAAAACAAACACATTTGTATTTTGTGCACTACAGTTTCTCTTTAGGATGAATGAAACTTTTGCCAGTGTACTGTAAAGCTATAAAAGAACCCATTTGTCAGTGGAGTATAGATAAGGCAGTTCACATATTGCTCTGCCTGCTTTTCTAATGTAAATGTACAGTATAGTGAGATACGCTATTTGCCCTTCATACTGCAGCCTGGAGGTCATTTCCGAGCAACAGCTCCATAATATACCAATAAGAGTCCTTGGGCAAGACTTCTAACACCACATGCCAACCTCTGTAATATGAATATGCTGTAAGTCACTCTGGATTAATCCATAAATTGGCCTGGATACGACTGTCTGCCAAATGCCAAAAACCTAAATTCTTAACAACATCAATACCAGGATACCCTTTAATGTCAATCAGGATGCTTTTATTGTTATTGATATGCGGACACTGGACATGCACAGACTGTATACACGTGTATATCTCAAGGCTTATTCATACACAGACACAAACATATATATATATATATATATATAGAGAGAGAGAGAGAGAGAGAGAGATGAGAAATGGTATGTGATATAATGTTCTTTGTTGTGTCAGGAAACTTCTCTATGACTCAGTGATCCACCACGTTGTAAAGTTACACAATTAACTTACTGAATACCAGCACTGGAATTATTTTATGCACTCTTTATCGACACAGAATGTGGGGTCATACAGGTGTCCCATATGTATTATTTATATGTAAGTATCTGTATGTAATGATTTTTCTTTAGACAGCAACGATATATGTATATGCCCTATATAATATCCCATATACTGTATATTAAATATATGTATGTATTTATATGTAGTTTTAACATGCCACACATATATTATTTGTATTATATAGTACCTAATATCTTATTATATGTCTGTGTGTGTGTGTCCTGTACACTTTATATAAGTATTTATATGTAATTATAATATATTCTATATGGACTATATATATTTAACATATAATTTATATAATAAGCATATATATATATATATATATATATATATATATATATATATATATATATATATATCACATATGTCATATAATCACATGTATATGGTGCTTATATGTAGTATGTAAATACCAATATCTAATAAAATGTCCCACATGTTACATATATGTTTATGTATGTAATGTATCTATCTATCTATCTATCTATCTATCTATCTATCTATCTATCCATCCATATATGAATAGACCTATACCTATATGTAATAACAATATGTCCCGTGTGTTATATAACTAATAATATGTAACAATTACAGAGAGAGAGAGAGAGAGAGAGAGAGAGAGAGAGAGTCTTCACACAGACAAACACCCCTCCCTGGGCTGGTCTCGTGCCCCACCCTTGCCTCCTGTGAGCTCCCGGTTGGCCCGCCCTCTGCCCGCACACCCTCTCTCGCTCCGCTCTGCGCTCACACACTTCAAGCACTTCCTCCAGAAGCAGCAGAGCTACAGTGTGTCCTGACCGCAGCGGGCGGACTGCTCTCCCTCCCTCAGCTGCCCGTGTGCTTTGCTTCAGTTAGGCTCTTTAAGGAGAATTCAGCTGTAAATTGGTCACTGAGGAGCGAGGA